CATTTCAAAATTCATAACCAAACATATTTTCTTTTTTCAAAACTCAACTAATAATTTCATACTCAAATCATAATACAAAAAAAAAAAAAATCACAATTCTAAAAATAAACCAAATGCGTTTTCTTCAATATTTTCGGTGCAAATTGTCCGAAAAGACAACATTCAAATAAAAAATTTAATAGTTTACAATTGACAACACCACGTTACATAATGTAATTGGCAGTGAAGCTAGGTAGCTTGACAAATAGGCGGCTCAACTCTGTTTCAATGACGTGGCTTTGGTGATGTGGAAATTATTTAAATATATATATTATTTTTTATTTTTAAAATACTAAATCTAGTTGTTGTTGATAATATATGATTTATTGAGATATTTTATCAATTATTTTTCTAGTAAATTCTATACCTTTAGTAACACCATTATTTAGTAGATTTTGTAAAAAATTATGATGCTGTTGACAGTATGCGATTAGTATTAATAATTGATTACGATCTAGTAACAGATCTTGAACATAAAAGTGGTGATAAAAACTCATGAACAGGAAAAACTTCTTACTTCTTATAATTTTAAGATTTTTTTTTTTATTTTTTATTTTAGGCTCACTATACTTCCAAAATAAGAACCGTATCTAAAGACTTTGACCGTTACCTGAACGTAGTTGGCATAGGGTTCTAGCATTGGCAAGCTTCCAGTTTACAGAGGTTGCTAACCTCAACCTTTCCTTTTCTTAGATCAAGCTCAACACAGATCTGTTTCCTTTCGTACTTCAAACCGTAACTTCAGAAGCTATTCCTTTGATTATGTAGGAGGCCTAAGATCAATAACTCGACATACAGTAGTAACACTCTTTTCTAGAAATGGAAAACTTTTTTATTTATTGAACAAAAATTTTCAAGGAAATGGGTGCCTATAGACTATTGGATTGCTAGAGTATTATTTATGTTAGGTTTTGTAATTGGCAATCTTGTTTGACAAAGCTCTTTTCAGTTGAAATTTTATTTGTTATTTTGTTTCAGTGAGACTATGAGTGTTTAGATGTGAATCCAACTCGAATTGTGCTTATGTAGAGGAAGGAGTTTGTGATCTTGATTCTTTCATGTTTGCCACATCGCTGATTATGTACGGGGATTGAGCTATCATTTGTGCGCTCGAGCGGAGAAAATGATCATTCAGTATTTTTGTAGAGAGTCTAGCGGTCAGCCTATATGTTTTGCACTCTCATCGCTCGAGCGGTCTTCGCAATCCAGTTTACTATAAGGTGAGCAGTTTGCTGTTTTTAGGGTTTGAGTGGTCCAGATTTTCAGAGAGGAAGAAAAAAACAAAGTGCTTTATATTGAATGGTGCTTTATGAGTATTCCCTTGATGATTTAAGAGTGATTAATAGATCCATGAACTTATATTAATATCATCAAGGGGTTTGTTTGTTTTCTTTTATTCACAAAAGAGAGAGTTGTTCTTCGGTGAATTCCAAGGAACTTGGGCTTGAAACTTTGGTGGATTTCAAAGTGGCTCATCGTTGTGGATTTGACATTGGCGTTGTGAATTCAACATTGGGTAAGACAATTCTAAGGTGAAGACGGTGGTGGAAGAGGCACGTTATAGTCGGTTTAATTCAGGCATGGATTCCCTAGTTAATTGAGGGAACACTTTTGTAATTTCTTTTTGTCTTCTTAGTGAATTGTTTTGTAGCTTTAATCTGTGATTTTTTGTTATAATTGGAGACGCTCCAATTGTGATTTTTTCTACGTGAAATCGTTGTGTCTATTTGTCTTGATTGTTTGATTGGAATTGTTATTTATTATTTTAAATTGAAATATAATCATGAACCAATATCTCGAGGATTTTTTATTTTTCAATTTGCTCTAAGCCTAAGAACCAGTTTCTTAGTTTCAAGTATACTCTAAATAATCTGTGTCCGCCTTTTGCTCTTCCTTAAGACCTTTATATAGGCACTTGTGGACTTCAAGTCTAAATTTCAACTTAATCTATAAATATAAAATATTTTACATATTATATTTTATTGTTGCTAGAAGACAAACAAAAGACAAGTAGGTAGATGGTGTGATCACATAGTAATCACATATTATTTATGAACAAGAGACACCTAGTTGTATAGTCATATGGAAGTGTAGTCTTCAACCCATGGTTTTGCCAAACTGCCCATGATTGTCAATCAATTGCATTTTCTAGATTTCATAACCCCTCATTACCCATGACATCACTAAGATCATAATTTTCATCATATTCTTTAAACATTTCATACCATCTTTCTAAATCTTGCTCCATTAGATATTTTTAAAAAAAAATTTATATCCTCTTTCAAATAAATATATTTCAGAATCTACTTGTTTCAAGTAATCATATACTGATTCATAGGGCAATCCTAGAATAATTATTTTTTCTGCCAGGGATGGTGTTACTGCAAAGGTGGTCCTTCCATAATAAATGAATTTAAACCCAACCCTTGTTAATTTTGTTGTTTCGTGAGATATTATGAAAAATCCTCTTGGCCTTGCTTCTATTGGATCAATTATAAAGGATTCGTCCCAATCTTTGAACCAATCACATTTGTAAGGGATCACATCATTTTTGTTTTTTATTTTTATAAGATAATGAGTTGCATTTAGACGTTTATTCTTTATCTTTGTTTTGACAGTTGTAAATGTGATGGGGGTCATGCTTGGATATTCATTATAGACTTCATAAATTCTCTTGAACATGAATTGTTGGAATTTGGTTAGCTGAGAGAACATGGTACTATGTGGGTGAGGTGGAACGTCGAATGTATTGACTATTCCTAATTTTCACATTTGAACAAGAGGATCTTTTGGGCTGATGACCATGTTTGCATCGAATGAAACCTTTAACATTCTATAATTATACAAAGCTATCCGACTGTTGAAGTAGCACCATTGAGTTCCTAGATAGGTAACTCTTTCTTCATACCATTTAAGAAATAACTTAATGAAAGTACATCTTCTTATTTTATATTGGATGTCATAGGGGAGTTGAAGAAGCAAATATAATAGTTCTAATCGTAAAAAGGTTTTGGCAACTAAACGAGTTGTCTTAATGAGCTTGTTCACAGAACGACCCTTCCTTGCTGCCTGCATTTTTTTGATAATTTCAGCGCTATCTTGTATCACCAAGTCCAGCACTTCTTGAGTCTATGCCAAGAATGTTTCCTTCTCTGGCGATGTAAGTCTTGTGGATGTGGATGTCATCTACAAGTTCTCGAGTTAGAGTATCTGCTAAACTATTTTTTATTACCATTAATATGTTTTATATCAATGGTAAATTGCTTTAATCAGAGTTGTCATCGTAAAAACCTCCCTTGTGCTTGTATGTTAGATAAATTCTTATTTACGAAGCCTAGTAGGCCTTTGCAATCAATTCTTATTAAAAACAATTTTTGCGCCAAAAATATTAAAAACTTTTCTATTCCTTTTATTATGGCTAATAATTCTCTTTGTATAGTGAGATAATTGCATTTGGCTTGATTAAAACTTCCATTACAATACCTGCATAGTTGAATATTTTATTTTATTTTATTTTTAGCATTGTGCTCCAATGATTGTTACTTGCATCGGTTTCTAGTACTAGTTCATCATTTTCATTAGAAGTGTTAGGGTAGGCAAATCCTTACACTTTTCTTTTAAAATTTTTACTAATATGGAGTCGATTGAGTTCCAAATCCAACTCTTATCCTTTTTTAATTTCTTTTGTAATGGTCTTCTTATTTTAGTTAAGTCTTTTATAAAATTTCATGCATAAGTTAAACATCCTAAAAATCTTTCTAATTGTTTTCTATTCGTGATTTTATTTGGTAATTTATTAATTTTTTCAAGAATATGATTTTGCATTTTTATTGATCCTATCTTGATTTCAAATCCTAAAAATTCTATTTCCTTTTGTGCATACACACATTTCTTTTCACCTAACACTATTCCATGTTCTTCACATTTTTCTGTTTGTTATTATTTTGATATGTATTCTATGTTGTTTGATGAATCCAGAGAAAATTAAAATATCATCTGTATATACAAGACATTATTTAGTTCCTTAAAGATGTTATCCATTCTTCTTTAAAATATTTGAAGTGCATTTTTTAATCCAAATGGAATTACAAACCATTTATAATGTCCTTGTGGCGCATTAAAAGTTGTTTGTGGTATACTCTCTTAATCCATTTTGATTTGCCAGTAATCCACTTTTGCAGTCCATTTTGGAGAATCAAGTGGCACCCTGTATTCTTTTAAAAGGGACTTGCTTATTTGAAATAAAATAACCATATCTTTTGGTATTATCATTTAATTTTTTGTAATTTATTACATTCTAGTTTTTCCTCTTTTAATTTCTGCATGATTTCTAACCATAAAATCTGAACTACTATGTGGACTATTATTATCTCTAATTAGACATTTTCGCTTAATATCTTCTATCTCTTTTCTAAATTCTTCAATATCATTATAAGTATATACCATTTCTTTTACTCTAATTATTTTATTGGAGTCGATTAGGTCTAATTTAGTTATACTTCTATCTTTATACCAAAATTTTAATAGATCTTTGTTATATAAATTTTTACATATTTCTTGTTGCTCCTTTTGAATTTCTTCTTAAATACTAATTTCTTTAATACTTAGTTTAGTTTTGCATCTGGTTAGAGAAATTACCTCCTCATCACGCTTACTGTGGACGAAGTAAAGGCTATGATGTGGAATAACTGTTTTTAGCTTTAAGACTTCAATTGGTTTATTATTAATTGTGAAAATAACATAATGTAACATTTGAGTACAAGAGCTATACAATCTTAAAAAATTATTTTTATGATTACATCATGTGATGGTTTATCAGTTGCCCAAAGTTTGGGAATGATGAAGACGATGAAATTTACTTGTAACGCCCCCCAAATTATAACAATAGATAATTTCATAATCCATCAACATATGTATGGATGCTCATTAGATTCAGTCATTCATTAAGACAATATTACCTAAACATTCTCTCTTTTATTAATTCCTTTAATGTAATACAAAGATGACACCATATGCATTAATACATTCATTAACCCTAAGTTATGAATCTATAGCATATGACGGATATGCATAGAACAAAAGAAGAAAATAGAAGTTCTTGCCCTATGGGCTACATATTTCTAAGTCGATGCTTGGTTACAACAAAAGTGAGTCAAGCCCAATACAAATAAAAAGCCCGAATCTTGTACAAAAGATATTTACAACACAAAAATAAATGAGCCTTCAGTTCTAAGATCCTCCCAAGCTAAGTCCTTGGCGGAGACATATTATCAGCACCTAAAAATTGGTTTCCACATAGGGTTAGCTAAAAACCACTAGAGATTGCTTTAATATACTGTATGATACTTAACAAAATCAGATGGTGAATGCACATGAACTCTATTTACCAAAACGTTACATTTTCCTCTTTCAAAACAATGCAATGCTATGTTTATAAATCAATTCATAAACTGATACTTACAATTAGAAAACGGGGTGGTAGATACACAATACTGGGAATCTCTAGGTATGTGTCTGCTAGTAAGTTACACAAGCACTACTAAAGCCATTTTACTGGTACTAACCGGAAGGATCGGTACCTAACCGTGTGGGTTTATGGACTTTCACCAAGCACACACAGGCCAACGTAGATAATATGACAACCACATCCTCTAACCAAATTCACTAAGCTATTCACTCATTTTTCTCAAAACGATACATTTTCAATGTATAAATATAAAACGATGTTTAATGAAAGATGTATGAGTAATTGGTTTCAATTAACGTAATTCTCATACAATTTTTACAACAATCAAAACTATCCTCCGCTAATAGCCCAAAACATATATAAAAGAATAAATTATAACCAACAGATATACAAAACCATCCAGAAGTTATACCCCCTGTAGACAGACTTTTATGTTTAAATTGTGCAATGCAATGAATTATTTATAGTAATCACAAGGTTAACATAATTACAAATCATTCAAACTATGCCATTGCTGCCAATTGGGCTATCAATAAGGAAAAAGGGAAAATGAAAAGAGAACATTGGGGTAGGGGGACGGGCAGATCAACATGAATTACAAACATAAGCATTAGGCAATTGATATTGTCGAAAAGGATCATTTTATGGTCTCAAACAACTTAATCAGAACTCATGGACTGATGTATCTAACAACCCGACCAACTACTAAAGTTTTACAGAGATGAATCTACAAGTTCAAGAGCAACTTAGATCTTGCAAGTAGAATCACTAAACTTCAAACAAATATGAAATAGTATCATGTGAACTTTGTCATCACGAACCATTGCAGTTGGGTCCCAATTTTGATTTGATGTGATCTGACAATGAGCTAGGTTAGCACTCCCATTTTGTTTTTTTGTTTTTTTTTCTTTTTTGGTGATGGGTCGTATAGACCTCGTCTAGAGTAAATATTAGATATAACGGTGATACTACGTGACAGTATCACCATCCAATTAGCATTGTTGATTTGCAGTATAGACCACAACATTGTTGGGTTAGTGGGAGACCAGGGTTGACCATTTAATTATATTTCCAGTTTTTTATTGGCTGGTGATACCATATGGTATCACTGTTACCCTCAATATTTTTTCGGGGTTAGGGTGGAATAAGGAAGCATAAGAATAGCTCATGAAGGAAAAACACTAGGCAGTATACAAGATACAAACTATATAGAGTTGTTGTATTGGAGACATTATGAACAAAGAAAGAAATATCTGATATTTTTTCCTCTTCTTTTAATAGAAAAAGAAGAATACAATGCGCCTAAACACCTCAACCCTAATAAAACTCTAAGGGCTCACCAAATACAATTTGATATTTAATTTCTAAAAAACTGAAAAAGATTAGGAAACCACCAGATACATGTTTCAATCAATTTTTATGGCTCACCAAAATGGTTAACTTGATGTTAGAAGATGTACCATTAGCTGCTATGTCACTTGACAGGATTTTAATTAAGGAAGTTCAGCAATGTAGTTTCTATTTCTCATATTATTCAGCCGGAAAACTTTACAGAAGATACAGAAAGTATGAAAGAACTCCCTTGGTACAAAACATTTGCTTCTGATATCTAGACAGTACAGTAATAGAACTCGACTAATGACACAGAAATGTGACCATGGTCCGAATCACTGTTATAAAAAACATTAGATAGTTTAAAGGATGTTTCAAATGTAACAGGGTGCATCGTCATCTTCAAATTTCTAGTTAAATTCCCCCCTTCAAACTGCAACATGCAATCTTTGCATTATTCAATTTCATTACGTATCAAAATTTGTTAAAAATTAAAATTCAGGAATGGCTGATAATGAAAGTTGCCATGAAACATTAAAAAAAAAAACAGAATGAGAAACTATGCACGTACGATTTCTAAAGAGAGACTTACAATCATACGCCAAGTACCCCAAAGGAATTAGATATAGGCAGTTCCTCAAAGCCACCAATGCAGTTCTTCGGCCAGAAGCATCAGCAAGAGAGAACATCCTAAACCTGAAAACAAAGCAAGAAAAAAATAAAAATGAAAGACACCCAAGGGAACTGCTTCAGGATTCCATTGTCACGACTCACATGCATATCACACCAGCTGCATAAAACATCTACTTAGAGAATAAAATTTGCCTTTCAACATTTTGAATACCCTAGTATAAATAGCAATGTACTTTATCACAATCTTTTCACCAGATGTAATGCATATACATCATCAATAGCATTTGTAGTAAAAGATAGTGAGGATGACGTCACCATGTCATGTCGCACAGCCCCAAGTTCAAAATTTTCCAGTTAGTTTTAAGCCAATCATAAATATATGGCACAATATGGTGTACACGAATATCAGCTATATGAAGATTCTTCATGCAAGTATGATCTCTCCTAAATCCAGTTGAATAATTGAAGTAATAGCCGTGCAGCTGACTCCAAAACAATTGGACTGACTTTGACAACAATGATGACAAAAAAATGAGGTTTTAAAAGGCATAATTTAAAATAATTGGACTGAATAATTGAAGTAATATCCAGTTGAATAATTGAAGTAATAACTCGTTTGTTGGGGCAATTTTTTTTTTTTTTGGAAAATGCTTTCTGTATTTTTTGACATTTGGTACAATGAAAAACGAAAATCAACGAAAACAAATCTATATGGGCAGAAAATGTTATTCACTTTTAAAAGGCAGAAAACGTTTTCTGGATTAAAATCTTAACAATGTCACCACACTACCACCAATACTCTCACCACTATCACCATTACCATCACCACGGCCACTGTTGCCATCACTGCCACCCCACCACCATGCTACCACCTCTATCTCCACCCTTTTCTTACTACTACCACCACCGCCATCACCACCACCATTATTGAAAAATATTTTCTCCCAAACACATTTTCTAATTTCTTTTCTTTCATAGAAAATATTTTTCACCCAAACAAACAGGACATTATTAAGTTGCACAAAATAGGCTTGTACTGAAAATGACTCATTTCTTGAGTTTGGAAAATGTAACTATATGCATCTGTAATATTGAAGTATTGCTCCACATCACTTATCACACAATATGTGTCATTTTGTCCATCTAACGCCAACACTAAGTGAAAAACCTTAAAAACCCTGATATAGTGATTTGTAATTAGGATTCAATTTTAGCAATGAATAACAATCCCCAATCCAACACAAGTTGATTTAATTCAACTAAACGAGAATTGAACTTTATCTACCAAACAAATATCGACAAGTCAATACAATGATATAATGTAGAAAAAGCCACAATTGGAGAATATTCAATTGCGATAAAAAATTACGGGCTAAAGTCCCAAAACAATCCACTAAGAAGACAAATAAATTACACACGAGAACCCTCAATTACCTAACAAATCCACGCCCAAATTGACTTGAACCCGTTGTGCCTTTTCCACCACCGTCATCACTTCAGAATTGTTTTGCCCAACGTTAAATCTACAATGCCAATGTCTAATCCACGTCAATGACCCACTTTGGAATCCACCAAAATTTCAGACTCAGGTTTCCCGGAATATATCGATGAACCCCTCTCTTTGAGTTTCAATTTAAACGAAAGAAACCCTTTGATGATTGTTAATATGAAACTTGTTGATCCATCAATCACCCTCAATTCATCAAGAAAATAATATATAAACACCCTCAAATATAGAACACTATGGCTTATCTCTTCAGAGAGAATTCTGGACGGGTTAAACCGTAAAACGCGTAGCCGCGACACTTTATAACAAACAGAGACATAAAGACCGCTCAAGCACATGAATGACCGCTCGAGCTCAAGACTTACCGCTTGAGTGGTAAAACTGAACTCTTAGTATCTCTAAAATCAGACTGAGATACTGGAAGATCCAATTCAGCATTCGAGCGCACACTTGACCGCTCTATCACCATTACCATCACCACGGCCACTGTTGCCATCACTGCCACCCCACCACCATGCTACCACCTCTATCTCCACCCTTTTCTTACTACTACCACCACAGCCATCACCACCACCATTATTGAAAAATATTTTCTCCAAAACACATTTTCTAATTTCTTTTCTTTCATAGAAAATATTTTTCACCCAAACAAACATGACATTATTAAGTTGCACAAAATAGGCTTGTACTGAAAATGACTCATTTCTTGAGTTTGGAAAATGTAACTATATGCATCTATAATATTGAAGTATTGCTCCACATCACTTATCACACAATATGTGTCATTTTGTCCATCTAATGCCAACACTAAGTGAAAAACCTTAAAAACCCTGATATAGTGATTTGTAATTAGGATTCAATTTTAGCAATGAATAACAATCCCCAATCCAACACAAGTTGATTTAATTCAACTAAACGAGAATTGAACTTTATCTACCAAACAAATATCGACAAGTCAATACAATGATATAATGTAGAAAAAGCCACAATTGGAGAATATTCAATTGCGATAAAAAATTACGGGCTAAAGTCCCAAAACAATCCACTAAGAAGACAAAAAAATTACACACGAGAACCCTCAATTACCTAACAAATCCACGCCCAAATTGACTTGAACCCGTTGTGCCTTTTCCACCACCGTCATCACTTCAGAATTGTTTTGCCCAACGTTAAATCTACAATGCCAATGTCTAATCCACGTCAATGACCCACTTTGGAATCCACCAAAATTTCAGACTCAGGTTTCCCGGAATATATCGATGAACCCCTCTCTTTGAGTTTCAATTTAAACGAAAGAAACCCTTTGATGATTGTTAATATGAAGCTCGTTGATCCATCAATCAACCTCAATTCATCAAGAAAATAATGTATAAACACCCTCCAATATAGAACACTATGGCTTATCTCCTTAGAGAGAATTCTGGACGGGTTAAACCCTAAAACGCGAAGCCGCGACACTTCGTAACAAACAGAGACGTAAAGACCGCTCAAGCGCAGGAATGACCGCTCGAGTGGTAAAACTCAACTCTCAGTATCTCTAAAATCAGACTGAGATATTGGAAGATCCAATTCAACATTCGAGTGCACACTTGACCGCTCGAGCTAACCAAGAAGTTTGACAGGCTCAATAATGCTTCTGCTCAAGCACACTTTTCCTTCAGCACAAACTCTTCTACTTTAGGCACAAATTGGGTTTAAAGGATCTCCCTGTCTCCAGTGTTGTCAAAAGCGCGCCTAGGCGCAAGGCGCAGCGAGGCTCAACCTGTGCGCCTGAACTGCTCCCAGGCGAGGCGCGTTGAAGAAGTCACACGCCTTAGGCGTGACTGGAAGCAGGCGAGAGAGGCGCAAGGCTCATGCCTAGGCGCGACTGATGTTTACGCCCTAATCTTTGATCTAATGGCTATGGTGTGTGTTCGGAATGACTCTAACCGCAGAGGATTACAACTTATATACACTACAAACCCCATACGATTGAAACGAAGCCCTAAATCTGTGTCGTCTTTTCGGCTCTCCATCTCTCGACTTCGATTCGACTTCGACTTGGACTGGGTTCCTTCTTCGACTTCGACTTCAACTTCAACTTCGGCTTCGGCTTCGACTTCAACTTCCAGGTGCGCTACGCTCTCTCTCTCTCCCCTTCTGCCTTCTTCGACTTCGATCGTCTCTCTCTCGCCCTCCTTCGACTTCGATCGTCTGGACTGTGTCGTCTTCATTTTATTTTTATTTTTCTCCTTCTTCTCTCCTTCTCTTCTTCGACTTGGACTGTGTCGTCTCTTCTGCTCTGCCCTTTTTTTTTTTTTTTGCTCAATTATTTATGCCTTTTTTGAGTCTCTGTTAAAACAAAAAAAATAAATACAAAATATTTATGCCTTTGTCAATTAAATATTTTAACGAAATAAATATTTTTTTAAATAAAAACAAAAAAACACCTAACAAGAAAGTCCTAATCACCCCAACCTAAAACAATAACAAAGAGCAAACTTCTCAAGCTCACAATCTGTAAAACAACTATTAAACTCTCCTCCTTTTTGTCATGAATTGACGAAGGGAACTCATCCAACAAAAGAACAAATACTAACCACAAAAACAAAGACTGAGACACATAAGCAAGGAACAAAATGATGTAAAAATCAACAATAGCAAGTGAGAAATAAGTAACACTAAACAACATGCACCAATCTGCCTTATAAAAACTATCAAAGTAAGGTCATACTCAACAAACCCCCCTTCAACAAACATCCACCTAATCAAAGTAGCACCAAGCACTAGAAAACAAAGAATAAAACAGAAAGACACAGGAGCAAGCAAGGGATTTAAAATTTGTACCTCAATACACACAAGAACATCCAAGAAACACAATTATTCGAAAACACAATATCCATAATCTTTAGTATATTCATCTTGAAAGAATGTGGTGCAACATGTGAAAAGCGTAGATCTCATGAGAAAAGTGTGTGTGTGGCTCCTAGAATTCGAAAAACACTAAAGTCAAATCCTGGTAATGATCTGATGGCTGAACTTCTGGCAAGAGAATCTGCAAATGATTGAGAAAAGTCAAACCTCTAGTGATCAAGGGGTGTTTTTCGAATAAACGGGAAAGCTCCCCCTCAGAAAAAACAACACATTTTCTTGTGCACGCACCGATGACTTTCACATTCAAGAGTATGAAAACCAAACTAGCGAAGGATGGAAAAGAAAGTGAGACCTAGTTAGTGACTCTAAGATAGCCTTTTTCTCATGCCTTGAGAGACATGTACAGGGAAGTAAGCAGTGGCAATGTAATAAGATGGTAAGGGGTTAAAAGACTCAACATCACCCAAGATATCCTAGCATTGGTCAATTTCTCAAGAAAAACACAAGAAACAGTGCTAGAAATCCATAGAGAACTGTGATCACTTATGCGAAAGAGTCTGGCATTTGGTAATCCAAGAAATGTACAGAATAAGACATACTAATCAAAGTATACACAATCCGAAATGAGAAATAACCATAGATAGCACACATACATTATCAAGTAATGGATTTCTCATTAATTTCAATATGCACCAACGACTTTGCAAAACTTTCAAGTTTGCAAAACCATACTAAGAGAATCTTTTTGGACTTTTGATAAGAAAGACAAGAAAATAAAAAGCAACTAAGCACCAAAAATAAATAAATAAATAAAATTGAAAAATAAGAAAGAAAACAAAGACACAAAACAAAAAGAAAACAAAAACAAATAATCAAAAAGTTATACAAATTGCGGTTCTTGGGTGGTGTCTTGACATTGTGGTTCCCTTCCCCTTCAATGTAAACCCGTCTTGACATGGTTACTACCCTCCTATTCCAAGGTCTATTCAAACTCATCCTCACATCATGTTTGGTCTCAAGCAATTCAAAACAATGAGGTCTAATGTGACCCTTAAGCCTATAATGATGACAAATGGGAATGAATTTACTCTTGGCTACATAATTATGAGACAAAGAGGAAGATGAAATGATATTACCCCTGGCCATGAAACATTGTGTGCTCTCATCTTTGGAAGTTGAGACAAGTCCTTTGATGATGCCAACACCTCCTTGAGCATTGATCATTTGTTGAGCACCAAGATCCACATCCACACTTTGTGAACTTGTATTCAAAGATTTCAAAGTATTTTTGACACTTTCGAGTTCCAGCTCCAAAGAGGTAATCTCTGCTTCAAACACTTTCTAGGACTTTGAACAAGTCTTCAAACTCTCTTTCAAGAGCACAATTAATCTCTTACAATTCATCATGTGCAAGAAGCAATTGGTTTCTCTCCATTTCGCATGTAGAAAACTTGGAGATCAAAGAATCCATTTTATTGGAGAGAACACTAACTTCCACTTGAGCTTTCATGAGCTCTTTCTCTACTTGAACTTCTCCCTTTCTACTCAACTGGAGCTTCATGGACAACTTGACGTTTATCTTTGTCAAGGTGTAACTCCTCCTATACAACATTGCATATGCTTTTTGAAGAGTTAAACCATCTATTCCTTCTTCCGCTGTGGATAACACTCTTTATCAACATTCGATGCATGAGAGATGGAGGTACCTTGAGACTTAACACTGGAACTCACATTCTCATAAATAGACTTTAACAAATCCCATGCTCCCTTGGTCGTCTCACAATGAGAAATATGGTTTCTCACCTTTTCTGAGATACCACCTCGTATTTCAACTAAAGCTCTTGAGTTGTACTTAAAGTCTTGAAACTCAAGCTCACTCCATTTCTCTTGAGACTTCAAATTTCTCATGTTTGTTACCAAGGCAAGTTCATAAGGCATCTCAAATCCTTTCTATATGATCTTCCAAAGGCTTGTATTCAGCGCTAACAAGAACACTGTACTCTAGTACGCGTATTCACTTCGATCAAAGAATTGAGGAGTAGCACATTGTGGCCATGAGCATAGTCAATTTATCCCTTGCTATAATCCATTTGTCCCTCAGCTATAGAAACCTCCATGAAGGCGACAAATTGTCCATTTCCCTCTTTTACTTGAGCATCGTTGTCACTTGCATCTTGATAAGAATTTGACTCATCATCCCAAGTGACAAAAAAGTCTTTCTTCATCCTCAAACGATTTGGGCATTCTTGAGCAAGGTGACCAAAACCTTGGCATTCATAGCATTGGGTTCTTTG